CACACCACACACACACCACACACTCTACACAACACACACTACACTACACACACACACCTACACACACACACACTATACAACACACCTACACACCTACACACACACCACACACACCACACACTCCACACAACACACATACCACCACCTACACACTCTACACACACACCACACCACACAAGACCCACAACACACCACACAAAACCCACACACACCACCCACACACACACACACACCACACACGCTCCACACAACACACACACCTACACCTACACACACACTACACACACCACACACACCACACAAGACCCACCACAACACACCTACATACACCACACACCACACACACCACACACACACTCTACACACACACCACACACTCTACACTACACACACACTACACCTACACACACACTACACCTACACACACCACACACACACACCGCACACACACACACACACTACACCTACACACACACACACCACACAAGACCCACCACACACACACTACACAACACACACACTACACCTACACACACCACACAAGACCCACCACACCACACACACCCACCGCACACACACACACTACACCTACACACACCACACACACACACCGCACACACACACACACTACACCTACACACACACACACACACCACACAAGACCCACCACACACACACTACACAACACACACACTACACCTACACACACCACACTACACACACTACACCTACACACACCACACAAGACCCACCACACCACACACACCCACCGCACACACACACACACACTACACCTACACCACACACTCCACACACCACACACACACACCACACACACACATACACACTCTACACACACACCACACACACACCTACACACACACCACACACACTACACACACACACACACACTACACACACACTCTACACACACACACCACACACACCACACTACACCACACACACACCACACAAGACCCACCACACAGACACACACCACACACACACCACACACTCCACACAACACACATACCTACACCTACACACACCACACAAGACCCACCACACACACACACACCACACACACCACACACAAACACCACACACACACCACACACAAACCTACACCTACACACACCACACACACACACCACACAAGACCCACCACACACACACACACACCACACACACACCACACACTCTACACAACACACACTACACTACACACACACACCCACACACACACACACTATACAACACACCTACACACCTACACACACACCACACACACACCACACACTCCACACAACACACATACCACCACCTACACACTCTACACACACACCACACCACACAAGACCCACCACACACCACACACACCACACACACACCACACACACACACACACACTCCACACACACTCCACACAACACACACACCTACACCTACACACACACTACACACACCACACACACCACACAAGACCCACCACAACACACCTACACACACCACACACCACACACACCACACACACACTCTACACACACACCACACACTCTACACTACACACACACTACACCTACACACACCACACACACACCGCACACACACACACACTACACCTACACACACACACACCACACAAGACCCACCACACACACACTACACAACACACACACTACACCTACACACACCACACAAGACCCACCACACCACACACACCCACCGCACACACACACACACACTACACCTACACACACCACACACACACACCGCACACACACACACACACTACACCTACACACACACACACACCACACAAGACCCACCACACACACACTACACAACACACACACTACACCTACACACACCACACAAGACACACTACACCTACACACTCTACACTACACACACTACACCTACACACACCACACAAGACCCACCACACCACACACACCCACCGCACACACACACACACTACACCTACACCACACACTCTACACACCACACACCACACCACACACACCACACAAGAAACACACACACCTACACCTACACACACTACACACACCACACACACCACACAAAACCCACCACAACACACCTACACACACACCACACACACACACCTACACACCACACCACACACCACACAAGACCCACCACACACACACACACCACACAAAACCCACCACACACACACACACACACACCACACACTCTACACTACCCACACACTACACCTACACACACCACACAAGACCCACCACAACACACCTACACACACCACACACACACTCTACACACACACTACACCTACACTACACCTACACCTACACACACCACACAAGACCCACCACGACACACCTACACACACCACACACTCACTCTACACACACACTACACCTACACACACACACCACACACACCACACACACCACACAAGACCCACTATACACTACACTACACCTACACTACACACCACACACACACACCGCACACACACACTCTACACACACACACACACTCTACACACACTACACACACACCACACACACACCTACACCACACACACACCTACACACTCTACACACCACACCACACACACACCACACACACACACCACACACACTACACCTACACTACACACCACACACTCTACACACCACACACACTACACCTACACACCACACTACACACCACACAAGACCCACCACACACACACACAACACACACTACACCTACACACTACACACCACACCACACACACCACACACACTACACCTACACACCACACTGGACCCACCACACACACACACCACACACACCACACACACACCTACACCACACACCTACACACTCTACACACACACACACCACACACACTACACACACACACACACACTACACACCACACTACACACCACACAAGACCCACACACACCACACCACACTCACCACACAAGACCCACCACACACAAGACCCACCACACACACACACACCACACACACACACACTACACCTACACTACACCTACACACACACACACCTACACACTCTACACACACTACACACCACACACACTACACCTACACCACACCACACACTACACACACACCACACAAGCCACACTACACCTACACTACACCTACACACACACTACACACCACACAAGACCCACCACACACACACACACACCTACACACACACACCTACACCACACACACACCTACACCTACACACACACCACACACACCTACACCTACACACACTACACCCACACACACTACACCCATACCACACACACTACACCTACACTACACTACACCACACACACCACACTACACACCACACAAGACCCACCACACACACACACAACACACACTACACCTACACCACACACACCACACACCACACAAGACCCACCACACACACACACAACACACACTACACCTACACCACACACACCACACACCACACAAGACCCACCACACACACCACACACACACCACACACACCACACAAGACCCACCACAACACACCTACACACACCTCACACCTACACACACCACACCCACACACACCTACACACTCTACACACACACACCACACCACACACACCACAAGACCCACCACACACACCACACACACCACACACACACTACACCTACACTACACCTACACCTACACACACACACACCTACACACTCTACACACACTACACACCACACACACTACACCTACACCACACCACACACACCACACCACACACACCACACACACCACACACACCACACAAGACACACTACACAACACCACACACACCACACACACCACACACACACCTACACCACACCACACACCTACACACTCTACACACCACACCACACACACACCACACACCCCCTACACACCACACACACCACACACACTACACCTACACTACACACCACACACTCTACACATCACACACACTACACCTACACACCACACACACCACACACACTACACCTACACTACACACCACACACTCTACACACCACACACACTACACCTACACACCACACTGGACCCACCACACACACACACCACACTCTACACACCACACACACTACACCTACACCACACACACCACACTACACACACACAAGACACACTACACACACACACTACACACCACACACACACTACACACACACCACACAAGACCCACTACACACACACACACACTACACACACTACACACACACACCACACACACTACACACCACACAAGACCCACCACACACCACACACACACTCTACACACACCACACACACTCTACACACACACACACCACACACACCACACACACCACACCACACACACCACACCACACACACCACACTACACACCACACAAGACCCACCACACACACCACACCACACACACCCACCACACCACACACCACACAAGACCCACCACACACACCACACACACACACCACACACACCACACACACGTACACCTACACACACTACACACCACAGACACCACACACACTACACCTACACACACACTACACCTACAGACACACTACACCTACACACACACTACACACCACACCACACACCACACACCACACACACCACACACCACACAAGACCCACCACACACACACCACATACACCACACACACACCACATACACCACACACACACCACACACACTACACACCACACACACACCACACACACCACACAAGACCCACCACACACACCACACACACACTACACACCACACACACTACACACCACACACACACTACACACCACCTACACTACACCTACACACCACACCACACACCACAAGACCCACCACACACACCACACACCACACAAGACCCACTACACACCACACCTACACTACACCACACACACCACACACACCACACACACCACACCACACTCTACACACACCACCACACACACCACACTACACACACCACACAAGACCCACCTTGTACTCCGGCAACTTGCTCATCCCCAGCCACTGCTCCTCCGTGGGAGTTCCAAGCAGCGTGTGGGCGGCCCTGTCAAGGATCAGTCGCTCACGGCCCGTGGGGGTTGGTGGATCACGCCGAGAGACGAGGGCTGGGAGGCGAACAGTGGGGGTTGGTGGATCACGCCGAGAGACGAGGGCTGGGAGGCGAACAGTGGGGGTTGGTGGATCTATACGAGTGCTTTGACATTACGAGTGCTTTGATATGCGAGTGCTTTGATATGCGAGTGCTTTGATATACGAGTGTTGATATTACGAGTGCTTTGATATTACGAGTGCTTTGACATTACGAGTGCTTTGATATGCGAGTGCTTTGATACACGAGTGCTTTGATACACGAGTGCTTTGATATTACGAGTGCTTTGATACACGAGTGCTTTGATACACGAGTGTTTGATATTACGAGTGCTTTGATACCCGAGTGCTTTGATATTCGAGTGCTTTGACATTACGAGTGCTTTGATATGCGAGTGCTTTGATACACGAGTGCTTTGATATTACGAGTGCTTTGATATCCGAGTGCTTTGACATTACGAGTGCTTTGATATGCGAGTGCTTTGATACACGAGTGTTTGACATTACGAGTGCTTTGATACACGAGTGTTTGACATTACGAGTGCTTTGATATGCGAGTGCTTTGATACACGAGTGCTTTGATATGCGAGTGCTTTGATACACGAGTGCTTGACATTACGAGTGCTTTGACATTACGAGTGCTTTGATATTACGAGTGCTTTGATATACGAGTGCTTTGATATCCGAGTGCTTTGATACACGAGTGTTTGACATTACGAGTGCTTTGATATGCGAGTGCTTTGATACACGAGTGCTTTGATATGCGAGTGCTTTGATACACGAGTGCTTTGACATTACGAGTGCTTTGACATTACGAGTGCTTTGATATTACGAGTGCTTTGATATACGAGTGCTTTGATATCCGAGTGCTTTGATACACGAGTGTTTGACATTACGAGTGCTTTGATACACGAGTGCTTTGATATGCGAGTGCTTTGATACACGAGTGCTTTGATATGCGAGTGCTTTGACATTACGAGTGCTTTGACATTACGAGTGCTTTGATATTACGAGTGCTTTGATATACGAGTGCTTTGATACACGAGTGTTTGACATTACGAGTGCTTTGATATCCGAGTGCTTTGACATTACGAGTGCTTTGATATGCGAGTGCTTTGACATTACGAGTGCTTTGATATTACGAGTGCTTTGATATTCGAGTGCTTTGATACACGAGTGTTTGACATTACGAGTGCTTTGATACACGAGTGTTTGACATTACGAGTGCTTTGATATGCGAGTGCTTTGATACACGAGTGCTTTGATATGCGAGTGCTTTGATACACGAGTGCTTTGACATTACGAGTGCTTTGACATTACGAGTGCTTTGATATTACGAGTGCTTTGATATACGAGTGCTTTGATATACGAGTGCTTTGATATTACGAGTGCTTTGACATTACGAGTGCTTTGATATGCGAGTGCTTTGATACACGAGTGCTTTGATACACGAGTGCTTTGATATTACGAGTGCTTTGATACACGAGTGCTTTGATATACGAGTGTTTGATATTACGAGTGATTTGATGTCCGAGTGCTTTGATATACGAGTGTTTGATATTACAAGTGCTTTGATATCCGAGTGCTTTGATATACGAGTGTTTGATATTACGAGTGCTTTGATATCCGAGTGCTTTGACATTACGAGTGCTTTGATATGCGAGTGCTTTGATATACGAGTGCTTTGACATTACGAGTGCTTTGATACACGATTGCTTTGATATTACGAGTGCTTTGATATGCGAGTGCTTTGATACACGAGTGCTTTGATATGCGAGTGCTTTGATAGCACGAGTGCTTTGACATTACGAGTGCTTTGATATTACGAGTGCTTTTGATATTACGAGTGCTTTGATATACGAGTGCCTTTGATATCCGAGTGCTTTGATACACGAGTGTTTGACATTACGAAGTGCTTTGATATGCGAGTGCTTTGATACACGAGTGCTTTGATATGCGAGTGCTTTGATACACGAGTGCTTTGACATTACGAGTGCTTTGACATTACTGAGTGCTTTGATATTACGAGTGCTTTGATATACGAGTGCTTTGATATCCGAGTGCTTTGATACACGAGTGTTTGACATTACGAGTGCTTTGATACACGAGTGCTTTGATATGCGAGTGCTTTGATACACGAGTGCTTTGATATGCGAGTGCTTTGACATTACGAGTGCTTGACATTACGAGTGCTTTGATATTACGAGTGCTTTGATATACGAGTGCTTTGATACACGAGTGTTTGACATTACGAGTGCTTTGATATCCGAGTGCTTTGACATTACGAGTGCTTTGATATGCGAGTGCTTTGACATTACGAGTGCTTTGATATTACGAGTGCTTTGATATTCGAGTGCTTTGATACACGAGTGTTTGACATTACGAGTGCTTTGATACACGAGTGTTTGACATTACGAGTGCTTTGATATGCGAGTGCTTTGATACACGAGTGCTTTGATATGCGAGTGCTTTGATACACGAGTGCTTTGACATTACGAGTGCTTTGACATTACGAGTGCTTGATATTACGAGTGCTTTGATATACGAGTGCTTTGATATCCGAGTGCTTTGATACACGAGTGTTTGACATTACGAGTGCTTTGATATGCGAGTGCTTTGATACACGAGTGCTTTGATATGCGAGTGCTTTGATACACGAGTGCTTTGACATTACGAGTGCTTTGACATTACGAGTGCTTTGATATTACGAGTGCTTTGATATACGAGTGCTTTGATATCCGAGTGCTTTGATACACGAGTGTTTGACATTACGAGTGCTTTGATACACGAGTGCTTTGATATGCGAGTGCTTTGATACACGAGTGCTTTGATATGCGAGTGCTTTGACATTACGAGTGCTTTGACATTACGAGTGCTTTGATATTACGAGTGCTTTGATATACGAGTGCTTTGATACACGAGTGTTTGACATTACGAGTGCTTTGATACACGAGTGCTTTGATACGCGAGTGCTTTGATACACGAGTGCTTTGATATGCGAGTGCTTTGATATCCGAGTGTTTGGTATTACGAGTGCTTTGATATGCGAGTGCTTTGATATGCGAGTGCTTTGATATCCGAGTGCTTTGATATCCGAGTGCTTTGATACACGAGTGCTTTGATATCCGAGTGCTTTGATATCCGAGTGCTTTGATATGCGAGTGCTTTGATATACGAGTGCTTTGACATTACGAGTGCTTTGACATACGAGTACTTTGACATTACGAGTGCTTTGATACACGATTGCTTTGAGATACGAGTGCTTTGATACACGAGTGCTTTGATACACGAGTGCTTTGATATTCGAGTGCTTTGATATACGAGTGTTTGACATTACGAGTGCTTTGATACACGAGTGCTTTGATATGCGAGTGCTTTGATACACGAGTGCTTTGATATGCGAGTGCTTTGATATGCGAGTGCTTTGATACACGAGTGTTCTAGACACACTAAGATGGGGGGGAGGTGTAGAGTCACGTGGTGTACTGTAGTGTTCTAGACACTAGAGATGGGTGTGGAGGTGTAGAGTCACGTGGTGTACTGTAGTGTTCTAGACACTAGAGATGGGTGTGGAGGTGTAGAGTCACGTGGTGTACTGTAGTGTTCTAGACACTAGAGATGGGTGTGGAGGTGTAGAGTCACGTGGTGTACTGTAGTGTTCTAGACACTAGAGATGGGTGTGGAGGTGTAGTGTCACGTGGTGTACTGTAGTGTTCTAGACACTAGAGATGGGTGTGGAGGTGTGGAGTCACGTGGTGTACTGTAGTGTTCTAGACACTAGAGATGGGTGTGGAGGTGTAGAGTCACGTGGTGTACTGTAGTGTTCTAGACACTAGAGATGGGTGTGGAGGTGTAGGAGTCACGTGGTGTACTGTAGTGTTCTAGACACTAGAGATGGGTGTGGAGGTGTGGAGTCACGTGGTGTACTGTAGTGTTCTAGACACTAGAGATGGGTGTGGAGGTGTGGAGTCACGTGGTGTACTGTAGTGTTCTAGACACTAGAGATGGGTGTGGAGGTGTGGAGTCACGTGGTGTACTGTAGTGTTCTAGACACTAGAGATGGGTGTGGAGGTGTAGAGTCACGTGGTGTACTGTAGTGTTCTAGACACTAGAGATGGGTGTGGAGGTGTGGAGTCACGTGGTGTACTGTAGTGTTCTAGACACTAGAGATGGGTGTGGAGGTGTGGAGTCACGTGGTGTACTGTAGTGTTCTAGACACTAGAGATGGGTGTGGAGGTGTAGAGTCACGTGGTGTACTGTAGTGCTCTAGACACTAGAGATGGGTGTGGAGGTGTGGAGTCACGTGGTGTACTGTAGTGTTCTAGACACTAGAGATGGGTGTGGAGGTGTGGAGTCACGTGGTGTACTGTAGTGTTCTAGACACTAGAGATGGGTGTGGAGGTGTAGAGTCACGTGGTGTACTGTAGTGTTCTAGACACTAGAGATGGGTGTGGAGGTGTAGAGTCACGTGGTGTACTGTAGTGTTCTAGACACTAGAGATGGGTGTGGAGGTGTAGAGTCACGTGGTGTACTGTAGTGTTCTAGACACTAGAGATGGGTGTGGAGGTGTAGAGTCACGTGGTGTACTGTAGTGTTCTAGACACTAGAGATGGGTGTGGAGGTGTAGAGTCACGTGGTGTACTGTAGTGTTCTAGACACTAGAGATGGGTGTGGAGGTGTAGAGTCACGTGGTGTACTGTAGTGTTCTAGACACTAGAGATGGGTGTGGAGGTGTAGAGTCACGTGGTGTACTGTAGTGTTCTAGACACTAGAGATGGGTGTGGAGGTGTAGAGTCACGTGGTGTACTGTAGTGTTCTAGACACTAGAGATGGGTGTGGAGGTGTAGAGTCACGTGGTGTACTGTAGTGTTCTAGACACTAGAGATGGGTGTGGAGGTGTGGAGTCACGTGGTGTACTGTAGTGTTCTAGACACTAGAGATGGGTGTGGAGGTGTAGAGTCACGTGGTGTACTGTAGTGTTCTAGACACTAGAGATGGGTGTGGAGGTGTAGAGTCACGTGGTGTACTGTAGTGTTCTAGACACTAGAGATGGGTGTGGAGGTGTAGAGTCACGTGGTGTACTGTAGTGTTCTAGACACTAGAGATGGGTGTGGAGGTGTGGAGTCACGTGGTGTACTGTAGTGTTCTAGACACTAGAGATGGGTGTGGAGGTGTAGAGTCACGTGGTGTACTGTAGTGTTCTAGACACTAGAGATGGGTGTGGAGGTGTAGGAGTCACGTGGTGTACTGTAGTGTTCTAGACACTAGAGATGGGTGTGGAGGTGTGGAGTCACGTGGTGTACTGTAGTGTTCTAGACACTAGAGATGGGTGTGGAGGTGTAGAGTCACGTGGTGTACTGTAGTGTTCTAGACACTAGAGATGGGTGTGGAGGTGTGGAGTCACGTGGTGTACTGTAGTGTTCTAGACACTAGAGATGGGTGTGGAGGTGTAGTGTCACGTGGTGTACTGTAGTGTTCTAGACACTAGAGATGGGTGTGGAGGTGTAGAGTCACGTGGTGTACTGTAGTGCTCTAGACACTATAGAGCTATTGACGGTCAGTGTGTGACACACACACACACAGTGACACACACACACACAGTGACACACACACACAGTGACACACACACACAGTGACACACACAGTGACACACACAGAGACACACACAGAGACACACACACACATACACACACACACACAGACACACACACAGTGACACACACACACACAGTGACACACACAGTGACACACACAGTGACACACACAAAGTAACACACACAGTGACACACACACACAGTGACACACACACAGTGACACACACAGACACACACACAGTGAAACACACACACAGTGACACACACAGTGACACACACAGAGACACACACACAGAGACACACACACAGACACACACACACACAGATACACACACAGTGACACACACAGACACACAGACACACACACAGTGACACACACACAGTGACACACACAGACACACACACACACAGTCACAAAGACACACACAGTGACACACACACAGTGACACACAGACACACACACAGTGACACACACAGACACACACACAGACACAGTAAGACAGTGAGACAGCTAGGCAGGATATCTGAAGATTCGCTTGAGCTGATCGTCAACGTCGTTGCCCGGGAAGAGAGGGCGGCCAGCATTCGCCAGCTCTGGACACACAGTGACGTCACACACACGCAGAATGACGTCACACGCACAGTGACGTCACACACACAGTGATACACAGTGACACACAGTGACACACAGTGACACACAGTCACACAGACACACACACAGTGACACACAGTGACACACAGTGACACACACACAGTGACGTCACACACACAGTGACACACAGTGACACACACACAGTGACCCAGTGACGTCACACAGCGACACCGTGACGTCACACACAGTGACGTCACACACAGTGACGTCACATACACAGTGACGTCACACACAGTGACACACACACAGTGACACACACAGTGACGTTCACACACAGTTACGTCACACACACAGTGACACACAGTGACACACAGTGACACACACACACAGACACACATAGTGACACACGCACACAGTAACACACAGTGACACAGCGACAACAACAACAACAACAACAACCGCCATTCGCCACTAAGTGGCGGTGACGTCACCACGACGCTTGTGCCAGGCCATGTGCACCTTGAGGCCACGTGGAGTGTCGAACGCCCGCTGGCAGGAGGTCACGGGGCAGACCCAGGTGCCACGGGTCGACTGACTGAGATGAGTGGCTGATGCACCACCTGTGCCCCCTACTGTGCCAACCTGCTGTGCTTTAGCCACCCGGCGCTCCGCTCGTTGTTGTGAGCGTCGCTCCTCCGCCCTCCGTTGATGTTGGAGGGCGACTGCCTCCAACTGCCCAGTAGCAGCGTCCTTCACGAGCCTCCTCCACAGAGGCCGATCTTGACACCGCTGGTACCGGTCATCGGCAAGTCCACTCAGCTCCACGTCCTCCTGTACCACGTCACTCCATCTCTTCTCTAGCCCATGCCGCGCCCGTTTAGCCCCCTCGATCCGGCCGAACAAAATCTGTTTTGGCATGCGGTGGCTGGGCATGCGGGCTACATGACCCTTCCATCGCAGCCTTGCCCGCTGGAGGAGCTCACCGATGGGACCTTGCCCCGATCTTTCAAGGATTTGTGAGCTCCTCACACAATCCAGCCTGGTTAAACCCAGGATGAATCGTAGGCAAGCCAGCCTAAATGTTTCTAACCGGTGAAGATGTTCCATTAGGGGGGTCCACGTTTCGCAAGCGTAGAGAAGGGAGGGAATGACCGTGGCCAAGAAGACCTGAAGCTTAGTGCGGAGCGACAGACCAGGTAGCTTCCACACAGCGTTACGCAACCGATGAAAAGATATTGCCGCTCGACTGATTCGGAGTGAGACCTCTGCTGTTAAACTGGAGCCGGTCATAAGCACACTGCCCAGGTATGGAAAACTCTCCACTCTCTCCACAACTGTCCCATCACCGATTGGGAGTTGTGGGGGTGGAGTGTCCGATGGTACAAAATACCCAGGCAGGTGCTTAGTTTTGGTGGGGCTGATGGTAAGGCCTCACCTTTTAGTGGCACGCTCCAGTCTCAGCAGCAGCGTCTCCAACTCCTCCTCTGACTGAGCAGCTATTACCAAATCATCAGCATACATAACGTGGTTGAGCAATAGGGACCCATCCCTTGACCGCACCCGGGCATCGATCAGCCTCCCATTATATCTGTACCATATGGAGATTCCCCCGGTACAGCTATTGAAGGCTTCACGAACTACGTGGTCAAAATAGATGTTAAATAATGTGGGAGCCAGAGGACATCCCTGTCGCACCCCAAGGTGTACAGGGAATGGCTCCGACTCCCGGCCACGTAGTTTTACCCGGGCACGGTCACCATCATGAAGGTCCTTAATGATCGTGAGCAGAGGGTCAGGGACTCCGAAAGCACGAAGAACAACCCAGAGCCCAGGCCTACTGATGGTATCATAGGCCTTGACCAGGTCAATAAAGCAGAGATGTAGGTCTTGTTGGAATTCCCTACACCTCTGCTGTAGCAGACGGACAGAAAATATGGCATCTGTGCAAGACCGCCCTTTCCTGAAACCGCATTGGGGCTCCGCAAGCCTCTCCTCAGTGTGCCTGGCAAGGCGATGTTGAATAATCCTTGCCAGGACCTTTCCCGGCACACTGAGGAGTGAGATGCCCCTGTAGTTGTTACAGTCTGTGCGGTCCCCCTTCTTAAAGAGGGGGACCACCAGGGCATCCTTCCAATCCTGCGGAACCCATCCAGTGGTCCAGACTGTTGTTATGATGTCATATAGGGCAGTCTGTGCACAAACGCCACCCTCCCTCAGCATTTCGCTTGGGAGATCATCTCTGCCCGGCACTTTCCTGGTCTCAGACTCCGGATCACACAGTGACACACACACAGTGACACACACACAGTGATACACACAGACACACACAGTGATACACACAGACACACACAGTGATACAGACACACACACAGTGATACACACAGACACACAGTCACACACAGTGACACACACAGTGATACACACAGACACACACAGTGACACACACAGTGATACACACAGTGATACACACAGTGATACACACAGACACACACAGTGATACAGACACACACACAGTGATACACACAGACACACAGTCACACACAGTGACACACACAGTGATACACACAGACACACACAGTGATACAGACACACACACAGTGATACACACAGACACACACAGTCACACACAGTGACACACACAGTGATACACACAGACAAACAGTCACATACACAGTGATACACACAGACACACAGTCACACACAGTGACACACACAGTGATACACACAGACACACACAGTGATACAGACACACACATAGTGATACACACAGACACACACAGTCACACACAGTGACACACACAGTGATACACACAGACAAACAGTCACATACACAGTGATACACAGACACACACAGTCACACACAGACACACACAGTGATACAGACACACACACAGTGATACACACAGACACACACATGCACAGTGACACACACAGTGATACAGGCACACACACAGTGATACACACAGACACACAGTCACACACAGTGACACACACAGTGACACACACAGTGATACACACAGACACACACAGTGATACAGACACACACATAGTGATACACACAGACACACACAGTCACACACAGTGACACACACAGTGATACACACAGACAAACAGTCACATACACAGTGATACACAGACACACACAGTCACACACAGACACACACAGTGATACAGACACACACACAGTGATACACACAGACACACACATGCACAGTGACACACACAGTGATACAGGCACACACACAGTGATACACACAGACACACAGTCACACACAGTGACACACACAGTGATACACACAGACACACACAGTCACACACAGACATAGACACACACACACACAGCCCGCATTTGCCAGGGGTCATGAGGATGAGGAGTGGTACGTGTGAGTGGTACGTGTGAGTGAGTGGTACGTGTGTGTGAGTGGTACGTGTGTGAGTGGTACGTGTGCGAGTGGTACGTGTGTGTGTGAGAGTGGTGCGTGTGTGTGTGTGTGGTGTGTGTGTGTGTGTGTGGTGCGTGTGTGTGTGGTACGTATGTGAGTGGTACGTATGTGTGTGGTACGTGTGTGAGTGGTACGTGTGTGTGTGTGTGTGTGAGTGGTACGTGTGTGTGTGTGGTGCGTGTGTGTGTGTGTGTGGTACGTGTGTGTGAGTGGTACGTGTGTGAGTGGTACGTGTGTGAGTGGTACGTGTGTGTGTGTGAGTGGTGCGTGTGTGTGTGTGAGTGGTACGTGTGAGTGGTACGTGTGTGAGTGGTACGTGTGTGAGTGGTACGCGTGTGTGTGTGAGTGGTACGTGTGTGTGTGGTACGTGTGAGTGGTACGTGTGTGTGTGGTACGTGTGAGTGGTACGTGTGTGTGTGGTACGTGTGAGTGGTACGTGTGTGAGTGGTACGTGTGTGTGTGGTACGTGTGAGTGGTACGTGTGTGTGTGGTGTGTGTGTGAGTGGTACGTGTGTGTGAGTGGTACGTGTGTGTGTGGTACGTATGTGTGTGTGAGTGGTACGTGTGTGTGTGAGTGTGTGGTACGTGTGTGAGTGGTACGTGTGTGTGTGTGAGTGGTATGTGTGTGTGTGTGTGTGAGTGGTATGTGTGTGTGAGTGGTACGTGTGTGTGAGTGTGGTACGTGTGTGAGTGGTACGTGTGTGAGTGGTACGTGTGTGAGTGGTACGTGTGTGTGAGTGTGTGGTACGTGTGTGAGTGGTACGTGTGTGTGTGGTGCGTGTGTGTGTGTGGTACGTGTGTGGTGTGTGTGTGTGAGTGGTACGTGTGTGTGTGGTACGTGTGTGTGTGGTGCGTGTGTGTGTGGTACGTGTGAGTGGTAGGTGTGTGTGTGGTAGGTGTGTGTGTGGTACGTGTGTGTGTGTGTGGTGTGTGTGTGAGTGGTACGTGTGTGTGTGTGTGTGGTACGTGTGTATGAGTGGTACGTGTGTGTGTGGTACGTGTGTGTGTGGTGTGTGTGAGTGGTACGTGTGTGTGTGTGTGTGGTACGTGTGAGTGCTACGTGTGTGTGTGTGGTACGTGTGTATGAGTGGTACGTGTGTGAGTGGTACGTGTGTGTGAGTGGTGCGTGTGTGTGTGTGAATGGTACGTGTGTTTGTGTGAGTGGGACGTATGTGAGTGGTACGTGTGAGTGGTACATGTGTGAGTGGTACGTGTGTGTGTGGTACATGTGTGAGTGGTACGTGTGTGTGTGGTACGTGTGTGTGTGTGGTACGTGTGTGAGTGGTACGTGTGTGTGTGTGGTACGTGTGAGTGGTACGTGTGTGTGTGGTGTGTGTGTGGTGTGTGTGTGGTGTGTGTGTGAGTGGTACGTGTGTGAGTGGTACGTGTGTGAGTGGTACGGGTGTGTGTGGTACGTGTGTGCGAGTGGTACGTGTGTGTGTGGTACGTGTGAGTGGTACGTGTGTGAGTGGTACGTGTGTGTGTGTGTGTGGTACGTGTGTGAGTGGTACGTGTGTGTGTGTGGTACGTGTGTGTGTGTGGTACGTGTGTGAGTGGTA